TACACGATTCCCTTTGACTCTGACTGTAACACTTTCCATTCTTTATTCATTTGGCAAATTTTCACTAGCTTTTAAATGATTGTTTCTTCTGAAGTGCCTTCCCAATGTACCCTGAGAAAGCTGGCCAGTCTCTTACATAATTCTTTATTAGCATTCATCATACTTTTGTAATGTTTTGTCTTTTCCCCTATTGTACACCATCTTTGAATATGGGTATTTTATTTATCTTTATTTCTCTGCCACCTAGGACAGGGCATAGAGAATGCAGGCAGTAAATAAAATAAAAACTCATTTATTTTTATTTATAACATTATTTTTATTTATAATGGATGATATTTGTAGAATATTATATTTGTAGAATGTCTCCATGTGTGTTCCGCAGTGTTTCCAGCCACTATTTCTAGGTCTTTACCAACACAAGAGACAGCTTTGTGTCAACAGCACTTCCCAAATTTCTAAGAAATTGTTTTCATGTATTAATTTTGCCTATTAAGAAACTACTCCTTCTCTCTAAAGTGAACACAATATACTGAAAGTTCTCAATCAGTTAAATATTAATTGGATGTCAGAGCCTAAGGGTTGGGACACTGTTTTGAACTGGCCAAGGGACTCGTTTGTGCTGAATTTATTCCTTGCCAGGTATCTCAGCTGTCTCGAAGAGACAGCAGACTCAGAACAACTGTAGAGCAATATCAAAGGACTGCCCCAGGGCCAGTTGCTTTGTCACTGCTTATTTCATGAAGACAGGAATCTAACACACAATAAATGACTGCAACAAATGTACCCTTTTATTTTCAAGAGCAGTGTGTCAACTCTGTGAGCAGATCCTACAAATGTTTCCTAAACTTTCAAGAAAAGCTTCCTGTTAGAAAAATAAAGGAGGTGAAAATTCATCATCAGCTGATACATAATGGAATTCTGGAGCTCAGAAGTAATCTTCATCATCACGTATTCAATCCCCTCTCTTTTAAAGGAGGAAGCTGAAACCCAAATATCACCTCACACTTACTGTCACAGAAAAATTTGTGCATTAACCACCAATTCTTACATTCCCAACTTATTATTATTGGTCCAATTAAAAGGCAGAGATTTTTCAGATTGGGAAAAAAAGCAAGATCCAACTCTATGCTGTCTATAAGAAACTCATTTACATATAAAGACGCAAGTAGGTTAAATTTAAAAGATGAAGCAAGTAACCACGAAAATACTTTACAAAAGAACATTAAAATGTCTGTATTAATATTAGACAAAATAGACTTTGACACAAGGCATATTATTTGGGATAAAAAGGAGCATGGCATATAGATAAAAAGGTGAGTTCATCAAGACGACATAGTAATTCTGAAAGTATTTGCATCTAAGAACATAACAACAGAGCTTCTAAATACATAAAACGTAAACTAAAAGAAGTGAAAGAAGAAATTAGACAAATGTACACTCTATGTCAGTCATTGCTAGAACAAGTTGACAGCAGATCATTTAGGTTGTGGAAGACTTGAACAACCAACTTGACCTAATTGACATTTATTGAAACTTCACCCAAGTGCTCACAGAATGCACAACAAGATAGGCAATGTTTGGGTCCATAAATAAATCTCAGCAACTTTCCAGTAACTGAAATGGCAAAAGTGTGTTCTCTGGTCATAACAACCTTTACCTAGAAACCAATAAAAAGATCTCTACAGAAATCACCAAATTTTTGGACATTCAGCCACACACTTCCAAGTCCACATGTCAAAGAAATCACAAAAGAAAATAGAAAATATTTTGAATAGAACTTACTGCAGGTGCTAACATATTAGCAAGATAGTCCAGAAATCTTTCATCAACCTACTTAACAAATTTCTTCGTGAGCCGTTATAAAGAACCGACTCCTCCAGCTTTGTCTGATGGGAGTAGCTGAGTGCATGCTAATGAGTGTTGGATCAGCAAAAGTCACTGCAGTTTTATTTTGCTCTGTGCCTTAGTCATTTTTTTCCTGGCTCTCTCTCCTGTTACTTGCTCAACTAAATTGAATTAATATTTATTGATCACAATTAAGCATAAGGCTCATGGTAGGTGCTTATGAAACTGTGAAGATAAGGCAGAGCTTCTGATTGCAAGGATTTATGTCATAGGCATTTATATACCTAGATCTACTGTCTGGATCTATTAACTCCCGATTCACCATTTCTGAAGCTTACTTAAGACAGTATTTTAACAAGCAAGTTCTTCCTTTAATTCCACTAGGTCCTTGATTTGTTCATTATATTGGTCAACCTTGAAGGTCTTGGGTCTGTGCCATTCCTAATTTTTAGGACTCAGTACTGATCTTGGGACTCTGCCAAGGGAAATGTTAATTAATTTTTGACAGACATATTAAAAATATGTCCTTTAGCTTGGTTCTGCGTTCTTGCTTCTTGATGTTTCTCTTTCCTTGTTTATTTTTCCTGACAGAAAATATCACTATTTCCTTTTCCTTAACTGTGGCCAGAAAGATCATGTATAGGTGAGAATTAAAAAATTACTGTCACCGGAAAATGTGTACTGTGGAACAATGAGCTAGAAGGACTTTGCTGAGACATTAAATTGCTCTAGTGACAAACCTACATCTTACAGATAACAGTTTTTCTTCCATACCTCAACATATACAGTAGAGTCGAATTTTACTTTGCGATTAGCTATTAAAATCAGAGGGTAAGATGAAAATCACATACAGTTAAAAACCATTCCTAAGTAATTTCTAATATCAGCATGACCTCTTACGACACGCACTTACTAAAGGCTAAAACGTCAATGAATTTTTTTCCTTGGCATTCTTTTGGACAGTGGAAGCCTAGGCTATTTTGAGGGTGAGGTGGGGGAGAGCAACTGGTAAATAACAATTTCTTTTTCGTCCTCTCAACTAAAAATGCATAATTGAATTTGAGCCAGCAAAGTACAAGTATAAATTCATTGCCTCAACAAGCAAATTGCTTAATATGAGAATATATGTCCTAGGAAAAAAAAAACTTAGTTCTGATCATAGTATTAAATTGTACAGCAGAAAATTATATGGTCCAATCATGAATCTAAAACTGTTATTCAATCTCAAATACACTATTGAGGTTGACTTTTGTTTGGTTGAGAACACGTTTTTGTGTAGCAAAGGTTACAGTAAAACCTGATCAAGCCTCGGTAAGAAAGTATATTCTTAACGTAAAGCAGAACTTTGAATCTTGTCACTTGACTTCAAAGCCACTGATCTAACCATTCTGGGCGGACCCTCCCTCAGTGAGACCCATGGGACCATACACAACGAAGAGACACAGAGCACAGCATCGCACATGACGCTTACTTGTTAACACAGTGATCGATCTGGATGGCTTGGTAACCACATTTCCATTTACCACTACCAGGGTAATTATATAGTACAGGCCATGATAACTGGCCTTAAAGATAACGGGAGGAGGCAGAGTACTGTTGAATTCCTCAAATTCGAAGAAGTAATTTTTTGATTCACCAGTTATCTTCACAACATACACAGATGATGGACTCATCACATCTGAAGCTTCTAAAGAGACAGCGATACTGTTGTCATCTTGGACTCTGACATGGAATGTTGTAGCATTCTGTTTAAGAAAAGAGAAGTAAAAGAGAAAATGGAGGTCAAATTTCAGGTTCCTCGCAGTAAAATTATACTGAGATAATTTCCCCAAAATTTACGTTGTGATAAGCATTGCTTTGTGAAATAGGGTGACATAAGTATTTTAGTGTATAAGGAAAAGCAGAAAGAGGGAGATTAACCCCTCCTGGGACTATTCATCTTCTCAAGTTTTATTACGTTTAGGATTTCTTCTCCACTGAAGAGCTGCTTCCAGTTCACAGATTGTGCCATGTAATACACACAAAATAAACATCATGGAACTGCGTAAAGATGAATGAATGAAAATCATCTTGGCGCTTGACTTCCGGAGAAGTCCTTGGTTTCAGCTATGTTGAAGAAGCTGTACGGTTTGAGGAAATATTCTATTTTACTTTGGAGGGAGTAACACTATGGTCGTCCTAGGAAAATTCTAGAAAAATGTTTCAGAGTAGTTATTTCCTCTCTGACTTCTCGTTGTCAGCTCTGAAAACTAAAAAAAGTCAGGACTGAGAAATCTGTGATAATCCTCCTTGTTAAAGGTTAGCTGGTCCTTAATAAGAGAAACTAAGATGTTCTTTGAAGAAGGAACCAGACTGAGGCTCCATGGTCACCGATGGAAAAGTCAGCAGTTAGTGGACTGAAAACTTTGAAAATGTGTATGAGCAGTATTTGAGAAATCATCTGTGTAGTTGATTTAAATATTCCTTCCCGATTCTTTCCCACACCCCACAAGCAGAATCAGCCCTTGTGTTCTCTGGTCTCAAACAAGACTCGTATACTTCATGACACTTGCTGTTTTGCTTTTAATTTACCTTTTGTGTACATGGTGTCCAGGGCAAATTATTTCTTAGATTTGAGCCTCAGGTTTCTCTTCTATGAAAGTTGGGACAGAAAAATTGCTGAAACTTATCAAAGCCTGACAAAGATCCAGGTACTAAGCTAGGCAGGCTATAAACACAGTTATCTCATTTAATATTCAGAGTAAGCTCAGAAGTTAGATACTCTTATTTTCAATCTCAGTTTGTAGCTGAGAAAACAGAGAGCCAGAAAGATTAAGTCACTTGCTCAAGATCCCACGTAACCGCTGACTTATACACAAGTCACAAAACTGAGCCTCGTTGTTCCACATGCCTCTGCCTTCTCCTCTTGACTTATTTTGCTAACATTGAGTCTGACACACAGAATATAGCTGATAAGTGTTTGTTAAATGAATGAAAGAATTGCTGATTGAATTAATTAAATGTGGGCATTCTCCTCTTAGAATTAATCAACTTATTGATTGCGGTACCTCACATATTGTCAGCAGCTAAATCAAGCATGCAAGATGGATCATTCCCCAAAAGACACTATACAAACCAATAATATACTGATATTGTTTCTTTCTATTTAATTTTTTTAAAGAAATCTAGTTTTTACAGGTCCTAGTATTTATAAAGAATACCTGGCCAATAACAGAAGTTTAATTTCATATTAACATTCAGTAGACTTAATTGTGTTCATGACATCCCTACCACACTAGACTGTAAGTTCTCTAAGGACAGGGACTGTGTCTTATTTCCAGCTGCGTCTCCAGCTCCAGGACCAGTGCCTGCCTTATGCCAGATGCTTTGTGACCTGGTGACCTGGGCAGCCCTGCAAAGACTTCTATAATATGGGATTGTCAGCATGGATTGATTTCTTGACTGTCTCTTTTTCCAAATTGTCTCCCATCCTCAGATACAGGGGTATGTTTCTAAAATTGAATTCTGTACTTTTGGGACCAAACATAAACTGTGACCCATTCTACGTAACCAGTGGTCAGGTGGAAGTGTGAGGCTAAAGCAAGTACTGAATATCCAACAGCCCTGAAATCTAGTTTTTATTCATTATTGATTATAGATGCTGATTCACTGACTCAAAAAATAATATGTTTATGAACATCAAATATATAACTACTAAGACTTTTTTTAACTCTGTTTTAACAGCCAGTAACTGAAAGTGTTTGTAATGAGAAAAGAGGAATAAATAAACTCAATTTTGTAAAGTGTTTGAGAAATATATGTCTAATGTGTCATGATGCTTTGTAGACAGTTAAATCTTCCAGGGAAGGGAGCTAATCTTCCAAATGCTAACAACAGCTTTGGGGATGATTGTATCAGCCAGGAAAATACGCATTGGCCCGTGTGCTCCCAGGTTGCCAAAAATAAATCAAGGGTGGGCTAATCAGATTCAGTCAGTGGGACTAATGAGAAGGCAGCAGGCCAAGTGCGATCCAGGCAGTGAGCCTAAAAGAAATGTCATCTATGCTATTTCTTTCTTCTCTGTCCTCTCTGCTTCAGCTTTTCCTGGAATCTATATCCAGGAGAAAATTCTGAATGTACGCTGTAGGCATGTCATCCCTGCTGAGAAGCAGAGCAAGAAGGCAGTGTTAAAAGTCATCGAAATGGATCCGGTAAACTTAAGCAAGGCCAATGCCGATTTATTTGGGGGACAGAAAAAATGTGTAAAACTTTTTTTTTTCCTGAGACTGGTAACGGTATTGCTTCACTCTGCAGTAAAAATATTTTCACTGAAATTTCCTTTGCATAACAAAGTTTTATATAGAAATGCCTCCAGTCCAACACCCTCATTTCACACTTGAGAGCACAGTGGTTCACATGGCACACAGCTAACTGATGTCAGAACAAGGTCTAGGGCGCACATGTTAGACGCCCTTGGGGTTTCCCCTCCCTGAACTAGACGTCAGATGCTTGAGGCAGCAAAAGGGGCCTGGGTACTTGGCTTCAGCAAGGAAGGGGGAACCCAGGAGCCTATAACCTGTTCCTTCACCAGTCCTAGGAAAGAGAAGCTACTGGAGACAGAGTGGGCAGCACTAAAGGGAAGAAAAACACAGGATGAGTCCCAGGGCTGTAAGACAAGGAAGAGAACTGGCCACAGACATGTACCCATCACAGGCCTTAGGAAGTCTTCCACCATCCCTGACAAGCGGAGCAACTGTGGTCTATTGACCCATCCCTTGATCTGGACCAGGCTTTGCACAGGACATTTTATATATATATATATATGTATATATATATATTTTATTACTTACAACCATCTTCAGAAGTAAGTTATTATTCCCATTTTACTCAGAGAGATTAAATAATTTGCTTAAAAACACAGCAGTAGACGTGGAATCAGAGATTCTGAGCGTCTGTTCCTTCTTCGCAGCATATTGCCCGTCAGAACATGCGAAACCCCAGGGATCTCTCAGCTGCATCTTCGTAATTTATAAAATCAGAGTAACTCCTATAACTCATGGCATTTTTGTAAGGGTAAAATGGCTTTTGTAAAAATGTTAATAGCGTGAACTCAATGAATATCAGTTGTATTTCAAAAGTTTCTGTGTTTCAGTGAAATTTTGAGCCACTCAATGACCTTTAAACTACAGAGGTTCTATAAACATTCATATAATTAGCTTGAAAATCCTGCAGAATCCTGTAATTGTATTCTCTGGATGTTTTATTCACAGAAGCTTGGGGAGCTACCCATTTATTAATTCAGCCACAAACATTAGCTAAGTGCCTGCATGGCGTGAGGCATCGCCCTAGGTGTTAGCGGAAGACAAGGTATTTGAGCTCCAGTGAGAGAGGCACACCCAAATGCACAGTCGTAACCCAATCTGAGTGTTATTACTTACGGACTTTTAATTTTTTACTATTTTTGAATAGATAAATGATCATTAAAATTTTTTATTGAAATATAGTTGATTTACAGTGTGTTAATTTCTGATGTACAGCATAGTGATTCAGTTCTACATATATGTATCATTTTTCATATTCTTTTTCATTATAGGCCATTACAAGGTATTGAATATAGTTCTCTGTGCTATATAGTAGGATGTTGCTGTTTATCTGTTTTAGTATGGTAGTTAGCATCTGAAAATTCAGAACTGCCAGTTTATCCCTCCACTTACAGACTTTGAAAACCTGTCCGGTTGATATCTGCTTTTACTGCCAGTCTGGGATCTCTCCTTAGATTGTACCCTCTTCTTTGCAGCTCTGCTTCTTCCCCGTTATAAAACCAGTAAGGGATGCTGATTACGGTGGCCCACTCCCAGGGCAGAGCAGGAGGTGCCTGGACTCACTCTGGGTACATCACAGTGGCCATCCCCTCTCCAAGAAGATAGTTAAGGAGATGCACTTGTGGACCAAGCCAGCCAACCAGAGTGCCTGCTCTGACATTTGATAACCAGAATTAGTGGGAAGGAGCCTTTTCTCCTCTGGTCTCAAGTATGTATGGATGCAAAGCTGGAGAAGTCAGTGTCTGTAATTTCTGCCCTGTGGAGATAGCTGCTTGAGGGAGGCTGTCTGATTTGTTCTGAGGCCCCGGTCTCAGTCTTCTTAAGGCCCAGCCTCTGTGCAGTTTGGTGACATAAGTGAATAAATCCCAGTTTATGGTTTAAATTGCTTAAGCTGGACTTCCAAAATTTGCAGCCAAAGGTCTTGGTCAATACAAGAAAATAGTTCAGCGTTACAAACGCGTAGAGAAGAAAGTAATTCATTCTGCTCCTCTGGATGGATATGAGGGAGGATTTCAGGGTAGAAATGGTGCTTGAAAGATACTCAGGAGTTTCCCAGGGGAACCAAGGTCAGGGAAGTCATCTGGAGAAGGAAGAGAACTCACACTGCTCCAGAGGGGTTAGGTTGTGGTCGGATGCTCAGAGGAGGGGCTTAATAGCTCAGTGCCAGCTGTGCTTTGTTAGGGAATCTGGATATTTTTTAGGTCAAAAGAAATCACGAACTGCTTTTATGCAGAGAAGTGGCGTGATTAGGCAGACCACAGCTTAGAAAGGCTGCTACAGATCGGAGTATTGACCGGTATGGTTAGGAGGTGGCTGACTGGGTCCATCTAAGGCCGGCAGACAGTAAGGAGGCTGTTGTTACAGTTCACATGGGACCTGATGAGAGTCCAAGCAAGCGCTGCCTATGTGACCTGCCGGTGTGACATGCTTCTAGAACATTGTCA